CACCCTCCGGGTTGTTGGCTATCATATCTTGTGTCAGATTTTAGCCAACTGAAGGGAAGGGATGCTGCAGTGGACTCTCCCATGTATAGCAGCTTCAGAGGCGCCCTTCCTCCAGACTCTGCTTGGGAGGTGTGTCTCTGCTATTGGCTCAGCTGCTCAATTATTAGCACCTGGGAGGGAGGGCGAGGGCTTCTTCCTTCAACCATGCTGAGACCCAAAGACCAGGGGAAAGATTACATACTCTTTCCTTTCCCCTTCCCTATATATTCAGGTCATTTTTTATTCCTGTAAGTGGAGGTGTTTATTTCTTTTGTTTGTTTTGTTTACTTTGTTGGGGGAGGAAAGAGAAGAATTAACAACATTTTAAAGGCAGGAGCTTCTGCCTTTTTAGAATTCAGCCTCTAAGGAGCTTTCATGTAAAACTATCAGTAACAGAGGAAGCCACTGAGAACCTGAATTACATTCTTTGAAAGTTAAACTCAGTACAAATTTGTTTCATTTCTCTCAACCCAAATGCAAAGTTCATTAGGACATTTAGCCTCGGATTTCCAACCTCCTAAACTGTAGCCGTCCTTCTCAAAGAGATATCCTACAACACCTGCAGATGGCAGATTTTGCCCACATTCCTATAGATCTGCCCAAGGAAGCTCAACTAAATTGCTTTCCCATGGAGATGCCTGAACGGAAATTTATCAGGCAGTTACCTTTCTTGGAACTAAAATTTAGAGCATTTTAGAAGTAGCGTTAGAACCTAGCCATTTATCTCCTGTTCAAGCCTTTCTCAAATTTTTGTAGTAATCTGCTTTAAAATAATTGCACAATAATTTCTTCTTCTCAAAGGTTCTTTAAGATTTTAGAAGGAATGCAACCCTTGCCAAGTCAAGCAGTTCAGGAGAAATCTTAATGTCTACTTCTCATGGCTAAGAAGGCCAAAAAAGTATAGGGAAATAAATGGAAACTGGCTTTCCGAACACCAAGAATGGGCCAAATAATATGCTTCACAGTTTATAAATGTTATTACATTTAATCTTTACAATAGCCCTATAGCACAGGTCCTTTTGTCTCTTTTTTACAGATAAGGAAATGGGCTTAGAAAGGTGACATTCATTTCCCAGGATCATATCAGTAAATAAATTGAAGAACCCGGGCTTCGGAGTTGGTGCAGTGCGCTGGTTACCAGCCAGTGCCCTGGAGTCAGACTGACTGTGTTCAAGCCCTAACCCTACCACTTACTATGTGATGCTGGACAAGTCACTTCATTTCTCTAAGCCTTGCTTTCCTCCTCAGTGAAATGCACACAAGAGTAGTATCTATCAGCTGTGTGCATTAAATGAGATAATCCTTGTGTAAGCTAGTGCAACATGATTTCTGAGTTACTTGTGATTTTTGGATTTGTCAGCAGCATCTGCTTTCTCTGTGAGTGATGAGAGTCTCACCTACTTTTCCAGCTTGGAGATGAAGACACGGGAAAAGTTCCCTTATCCTCTGCTTCAGCAAAAAGCAAAAGTGAAAATTCCTAAACTATTGAAAAATACTCACTAATCATAACTGAATAATTAATGAACAGGTGAAATAGTTTCTGATGAAACTCTAATGAGGTGACGTCTGGGTATCTTTTTCTCCACAGAGAATATTATATTTCTTTTTTCTTTTTAAGATTTATTTATTTGAGAGAGAGAGCACATGCACAAGCAGGGAGAGGGGCAGAGGGAGAGGGAGACTCCCTGCTGAGCGTGGAGCCCAACGTGGGCCTTGCTCTCAGGACCCTGAGATCATGACCTGAACTGAAATCAAGAGTCAGATGCTTAATCAACTGAGCCACCCAGGCGCCCTGAGAATATTATATTTCTTGACTTGAGTCTGAGGAAAAAATATAGATGTGGCATAGCCTAAGCATCAAGACCGTGTGAGACCAGCGTGTGCGCCTCAGCAGCTCCTATACAACTCCACAAAGCATGAGCATACAATGGAAGCACTCTAGTGGTTAATCCACTGGAGACGCATCCCAAATGTTTTGACAGTAAGAATCGCTACATCCTAGCCTAAAGCGGTATTCGCTGCTCCTCTGCTCTGGGCTGCATATAACATTAGTAATCTATTGTGTCCTTCTAAGATGAATGTTTTTCCCACTTCCCAAAGCAGCTAATATTCAAGCAGCCAGGAAGGCCTCTTTGACAGCAGAAAGACCTTGGTTCAAGCTCCATTTCCACGAATCACTAAGGTTCAGAACCTCACCTGTTAAGAGGATAAAACCACCTACCAAACACAACGATTATAAGAAATTAAATGAGATCATGCATATAAAGTGCTTAGCATAACTATAGCAAGAATGCAATATATGGTGGCTCTAATTATTATGTCTGTTGTGGAAAACTGTGAATAACAGAAAAGTGTAAAGAAGAAAAAAAGTCACCTTTAATTTCCCCTCCCAAAGGCAACTACTGTTGACTTCTAGTCAGTCATCCTCTCTCTGTAGGTAGTTTGTCTTTCTATAGATCTGATATCATAGCACACACACACTATGCAGTCTGGGTTTGTTTTGTTTCGTCTTTTTGGCCCTATTAATATAACTTATATAGATTGCCACACAATTAGTAGCTAGGAAGTGCTTCTTTACGGCTTCTAATGAAATAGCGTTTCCTAGTTATGAAGCCTTTGGAGACGAAATAGTCCTGCCTCCCTCATTTCCTGCTACTCTGGGATCTGCCCTCCTGGCCTTGGGAATCCTCAAATCTGTCACCATCATCGCTTGGAACCACTGCGATAATCCCCTAAGTGCTTATAGGGTGTTGAGTGTGCAGGCACCCCAAAACCCAAAGGCAGGACTCTGTGGGCTACAGTGTAAGGTGCTGCAGACAGCCTTACTTCCACAGCCATCTGCTCAACTGCCTCTCAAATTCCTCCCCCCCATATTATAACAGAAGCTGCAAAAAAACCAAAAACCAAACCTGCAAACATGCTCATCTGCCTTTAGCTGAAGTTCAACCTCCTCCTTCCTCAATACCTTTTCTAATACCTACTTTTCAAAGAAAAAGCAAGATGTATTATTTGGCTGAAGTATTTAAAAAACCAGCCAGAATGTCAAAATTTAATTTGGTTCTTAGTATTTGAGTTGCCCAAACTGTACTGTCCATGGTGACCAACCCCTCATTCTCTGCTGATATCATCTCTTGCTTTTTCAAAGTACATAACTGTCTAATTATGGAGCTTAAAAATTTACCTCTAGATATGGAATTAGGGACAAACAAAAATTATATTTAAAGTAAAGATAATTATCTATAACATTTATTTTGGCCAACCATCTGGTTTTGGGGGGATTTTGGAACCAACGTTTGTTATTATTACTGTTCCTATTATAGTTGATATTAAAGAAACAGTTTTCCAGAAGAAAAATGCCTATGTGCCTAAACAGAGAAGGCATTAAAATTCACTGAGAAAGAGAAGATTGTCTTTTCTCTAAGACTCTGGCTCTATCAACGAGCTGTGTGACCTCCAGGAACCCAAATTCTCTGAACTCTACTTCACCATCTAAAAACAGGGATAATGCTCTCCACTTGGTCAGCCTTACAGAAATTTTTATTCAGAGCAAATTAAATAATGAATGTAAAAGTAATTTGTGGCCTGTAAAAAGCTAAACAAACACGTGTGTGTGTGTGGGGGGGGTATTTTGCTATTAAATAAAAAGGCAGGAGAGAAAAGACAATGTCAAACACATCCTAACTGCCTTTTGAATTTTTATCTGTACAGTCAACAACTGTCCTGAAATGTTAAAAACAGATCATTGTGAATTATTCCATCCTTGACTGTCCAGTTCTCCTCCACACATGCATCATGCTAATTAGAGGACCGGCTGTCTTCGTGCTGTGTTAGAGGAAACTGAAGTGTTAGAACAAAACGGACTGGCATGCTATCCCAAGGAGCTTATGCCAGCTAACGAAGGACTGAGGGAGGTTAAGGAGTTAGAGGTTCGGAGAATGAGGATCGCTGAGGTTACAAGAATTTGAAACTACAAAAAAAGGTATAAACAGCTTAGAATTTAAAGAAGTGTTAAGAGATGGCTTTTCCCAAAGAGGGGAGCCATTATCCAAACCCCTAGACAAGTGATTTTACGAAGCTATTATATGTAGCTCCTCCAGAGCCTGACATTTGATTACATTTAAAATTCATCTTTTTGCTTCCCTTTTCCTTCCTCCCCCATACACCATGTGTTCTTGCCCCAACCTCCCACTTTTCCCTCCTTTGATTTATTTCCATTTCAATCCCTTTTGAATGTCTCGCTCGAGTTCTGCACCGGCTTCCCTAACCTCTCCTTGCTTGGCTCTCCCTGGTGCACACCTCCCGCTGGCAGCACCAGGTATCCACGGTCCTCTTTGGAAAAATCACACCTCATTCTTACAGAGGAAACTGGAAAATTATTCTGAGCTATATTGTTGTTGTTGTTGTTGTTGTTTTAGCAGAAAGATAAGAGCTTTAAATTCCAGGCTGTTTCCCTATGAGGAGAGGACGTGGGAGGGAGAGAAGCAACGGTAGTTCCAAACCGGCTCAGACTTGGTCATTGGTGGTGGCAGGACGCCATTCTCATTCCATCCGGGCAGGATCCGCTGGCCAGAGGCATTCAGTCAAAGCCGGGGTGGCGGGGGTGGGGGGGTGGCGGGGGGGGGAGAACAGGTAGGCTGATAGAGACTCGCAAAGATGGAGAGAGAGAAAAGGAGGAAAAAGAAAGCAAAGAGTTGATGGGGTCGGGCAATAGAAACAAGGAAGAAGTTGGTGGGGGGTGGGTGGGAACAGAGCCGGGATTAAAGTGAAAGGGAAAACAAGGAGGGGCTGAAGAGAGAAACAGAAACAAACCAGGAGGGAGAAGACAGAAGCGGCCGGGGGTGGTGGGGACGGTGGGGACGGAAGAGCTGAGCGTGGGAGCCAGAGGCCGGGCCGGAGGGAAGAGAGGAGGGAGCGGGAGAGACTGCCATGCCTAGGCTCGGTCTATGTGTTTACTTCCTTACACTGTCATCGGTAGCTGCCTTATCTATTTTCACCTCTGGCAGGAGCCGCCCGCCGATGTGGGAGCCCGGGCCGCCGATGAGGGACACCACGCCGTTGCAGTCAACCGTGCTGTTGCGCTTGACGCTGCGCCGCAGGCTGGGGAAGATGCGCGACGAGCGGCTGGCCTGGCTGTAGCCGCTGTAGCCGCTGTAGCTGCTGCGGCGCTCGCGGGCCCGGATCGGGATGAAGAGCGAGTCCCGGCGGCCCTCGCTCTCCTCCACCGTGCTGTGCTCGTCGTCCGCGAACTCGTTCTCCGAGCCCGGGTCGCGGAACCGCCCGGGCCCCCTGAAGCTGAAGATGCTGCTTTTGCTGTTGTGCCGGGAGAGGAAGGGGGAGCCCGGGATGCTGAGCAGTGACTGCAGGGGCAAGGAGACAGAGAAAGACACAGAGACACCATGAGACGGGGAGCGGACCCCGCACAGGCTGAGCAAAGGCTGTTTGCCTCCCCATCCTGGCCCCAGCCTTGCACTCCTGCTATCGGGACACAAGTGTTCCCAGAAAGCACTTCTGGGTGTTACGTTTGTAGTACTACTCAACACCCGTAAGCACTCACTTCTTGCCCCATAGCCTCGCAACCAGCTAACCATACCAAAATCCTACTCACCGTTCACCCATGCACTGCAAGGATGCTTTTATCTCGAGCACTATGTAGCTAATCCCCCAGGAAACACATGGGTGTGTCTGTTTCTCATTACTGTGAACTCACATGAAGTGTGCCTTTCATTTACTCAAGCTAGAGTCCATGCCACACTTGACAAAAAGGACAGAATGTAAAAGTGCTTTATCACTTGCTATTCTCTCAATGAGTACACGCCCTCGAGGTAAGTCCTATGCCAACAGTGGTCTTGAAGCATTTTTTGTTCAGTTGAATATCATGTATGTTCCCACCTACTCCATTTTAAAGTCAACATTTTTTTCATCAAAAGTTTATTTTTTTAAGATTTCATTTGACAGAGCGTGCAAAGAGAGAGAGAGAGAGAGAGAGAGAGAGAGCATGGGGAGTGGGAGGAGGGGTAGAGGGAGAGGGTGAAGCAGGCTCCCCACTGAGCAGGGAGCAGGGAGCCCGATGTGGGGCTAGATCCCAGGACCCTGGGATCATGACCTGAGCCAAAGGCAGATGCTTAATGGACTAAGCCACCCAAGCACCTCCATCAAAAGTTTAAATATGTAAACTATATAATTCCCAGCACTATGTATGTATGTATGTATGTATGTATGTAGGTTCCACATGCAGTGTGGAGCCCAACTCGGGGCTTGAACTCACAACCCTGAGATCAAGACCCGAGCTGAGATCAATAGTTACATGCTTAACCAACTGAGCCACCCAAGTGCCCCCTGCACTGACATTTTCTTTATTTTTATTACTATTCTTATTATTTTTTGGATTTTATTTATTTATTTGAGAGAGAGAATGAGAGAGAGCACGAGCAGAGTGCTCGGAAGCAGAGGAAGAAGCAGACTCCCCACTGACAGGGAGTCCAATGTGGGGCTTGATCTCAATCCCGGGACTCCAGGATCATGACCTGAGCAGAAAGCAGATGCTCAACCGACTGAGCCACCCAGGCGCCCCTGCACTGACATTTTAAAATAAAACTTTTATTTATCACTTACAAATTTTTCCTCATTTCTTTTTCTCTTTCAACCCATACTTCCAATTCCACATTCCCTAGAGAATTGTATGCTAATGTATATTTTTATGCTTTACTATATTTTATTGATCACCTTTGATCAACAATTTTCTTTAACAAAAAGTTATAAATAAACTGTACTTAAAATTTTTTTAAATTTTTTATTGTTGTGTTAATCACCATATATTACATCATTAGTTTTTGCTGTAGTGTTCCATGACTCATTGTTTGTGCATAACACCCAGTGCTCCACGCAGAACGTGCCCTCTTTAATACCCATCACCAGGCTAACCCATCCCCCTACCCCCTCCCCTCTAGAACTGTACTTAAAATTAAAAAAAAATTCCTGTGACCAGGAGTCTCTAAGAATTTTTAAAAAATTCTCTTGAATTGATTTTTTATTATAATTCTTATAAGATTGATCAAAATAATACATATACATTTTATAAGTAATTACTAAGCTTAAAAAGAAAATTTTATTAAAACGTATCTCTTAATGAGTTTTTTTTCCAATTGGTGTTTTGGTGATGAAATATTTGTAGACAGTATTATTTATTATTAGAATCAAACATGGCTCAACATCAACATTTCCCTTCCCTATCTAATATTCAGATTTTTTAAAAAAAATTTATTTTATTTATTTGACAGAGAGAGACACAGCGAGAGAGGGAACACAAGCAGGGGGAGTGGGAGAGGGAGAAGCAGGCTTCCCTCTGAGCAGGGAGCCCGATGCGGGGCTCGATCCCAGGACTCTGGGATCATGACCTGAGCCAAAGGCAGACGCTTACCGACTGAGCCACCCAGGCGCCCCTAATATTTAGATTTTTAAGTGCTGAGAAACCTTATTCACATAAATAATATCTTGGAACAGAAGAATCTGGTTATAGTAATAGCACTCAATTCTTCGATCTCCTTTCAAATGATACACCAGAATCACATAGTAAGCTATCAGCAAAATTTATCTTAATGATCTGTTGGCTAACAATCAAATCAGGTAGTCTTACAACTTTACTGAAAGCAAAGAACTCTAAACCACCCAACTTGCCCCATGATTTGTTACCTCGTTGTTAGAAGTATTCCATTTCTTGATTTCTGAGGATGCCAAAAAGGATTCATTTTTATTTACAAATAAAAATATGGGTTACTCTTAAAGAGGTTATTCTTTTACTTAAAGGAACATTACTTAACCCAAAAGAAATGGTTGGAATAATCAAAATATCATTAATTTCAATACATCACTGCCAACTTTTTTCCAACATTAATTTTTTAATAAAATAATTTTATCTTAATACATGCTTTAAGGATATTTTCATCAAAACCTTAAAGCCACAGATTTAGCTCAATTAATTTACAAAACTACCTCCCATATGATATAGTTAGCAAAGCCAGCCCTTATTGTCAAAGCAATTGGCCAAATCAGATTTATTTTTATTTGAAAAATTATGACCTTATTTTTTCTTTTTAATAAATATACTAATATGTATCCAAGTGACATCTATCCCACTCCTGAATTTAAAATACTCCAAAGGCCCAGATTGTAAGACAGGTAAATTTGGAAAGCCTTACATTGGATTTAAATTTTCTGGGTTAAAGAAAACTTAAAGACGCTAATATTTTCAATTGTCCCTTTGTTTGGCATCCCCTAAATTTTTATACCTTAGGGCAATGTGCTACGCTGAAGGCAATGCCTTCCTATTGTGCCTCTGATTTTGTTCTAATGAGAAATGGTAAGGTGGCAGACACAGAGACAGCAACTTTTGGAAGAGTTTATTACTTATAGCTCTCAAGAGAAGGGGGCATGCCACGCCATGCCAGGCAGGGCCTCATGGGAAGGTACTAGGGTCAGTTAGGAGGCAAAAGGAGCAAGGGAAAAGCGTGGTTCAGAGCCTGTATGATGGTTTCCTCAGAAGGAACGGCTGAGGCAGAGTAGGCACATCTGACAAGTTTAGGATTGGGCAGTTTGAGTAATTTCAGCAGGCTCTGGTCTGTAGGAGTGGTCCTAGCTCAGAGTGATTGAGGGCAGGGGAAACTTTGGTTTGGTGTGTCTTGGTGTGTGAGTGTTAGATTAAAAGTTGGGGCTGAGGGTTTGGATTGGTTGATTTGTATATGAAAGGCACACTTCCAGACAAGTTGTTGACTGTCTAGGAATTAAGTTTGCACTGGGAGGGGCAGTCTCTCCCCAGCTGGCAAGGCTCCTAAAATGTCAAAGCATCATAAAATACAGAAAATAAAAATAATTAATACAGTAAGATCCCTTGGGGCGCCTGGGGGCTCAGGTCATGATCCTGGGATCGAGCCCCATGTCGGGCTCCCAGCTCAGCAGGGAGTCTGTTTCTCCCTCTCCCTCTCCCTCGGTTTGTGCACTCTCTGTCTCTCTCAAATGAATAAATAAAATCTTTAAAAAGAAATACAGTAAGATTCCAAGATTGGGTGGCAGGGGGAGGGGGATAGGAAATATCTTTGAGCTTCTACCCACATGTTCAGTTCAGCTGAGGTTCTGTGTTAGATGTTAATAAAAGTGCCTTGGGTGTATGTATCTCCCTAGATGTTAATAAAAGTGCCTTGGGCATATGTATCTCCCTTGCAGGGCTCACTAAAGAGAAATATGGCCAGGACAAGACAAGACTCAGGCACTCTTGGGCTCCTTTGCTAAATCCCATGATTACACTTAATATCATCAATCAATGTCCTAAAAATGTCCTTCAAGATCCTTCCAGCTTTGATCCTAATTTAGTTTTTCCATTTTATCTTTTACTCTTTCCCCTCACAGACCCACCCATGGAGCCACACTGCCTGCAGGTCTGTATGTTCTACACTTCCAGCTGTGGAAATCCTTGCCACCGTCCATGGTCCAGCCCTTCAGCTTCTTCCTCTATAAACCTCCTTCACCCTTCCACAGCCCCGAGCCTCTGTTTTAGAGTACTTGAGCTCTACTTTATACTACAGTTCTTTATATACATGCTTTTAGCTTTCCTTTTTAACCAACTACAAGCTCTTTGGGGGCAATCTGCCTGATTCATCTTTGTATCTCCTGGAGTGCTTTGTATATCGTAGGTACAGTGCTTAATTTAATGAACATGTATTTAGATTATATACTGTAAATTAGCCACCCACACCTGAGCATTACCCCACACCTGCACTGGGTCACTGCCTCACTTCTCATAGAAGTTCACTTCCCTGGACTAAATCTGTGATTTTGCATTAAGCCGATGCTGGCTGCTGACACTACATGGTACATTAGGTCTCCACATTAGGAAAGAGGCTTCATTTATTTGACAGATGATCATTAAATACCCATTGTGTATTAAGTGATATGGATACAGTGGTAAAGAAGAAATACAACATGGTCCCTGGCCTCTTGCACCCTGCAGCCTAGTCAGAAATATATACTATATGAAATCTATTCTTAACTGATAGGAAAGTGATAAGTAAGATAATGATCAATTCAGTGACCTACAAACACACAGAAATGAGGATCCTGAGACAATACACAGTAAAAGAAAACAATCTATTATTCTTTAATTTCATGTTCCATTCTTGGCAAAAGAGTTGCCTGTAATAAATGTGGAAGGGGAAAAGATAATTTGCCCCATCTCTCCTCGGACCCAGCATTCAATCTTGCTCTAGCCCATTCTCTAAGGAGATACATCTTGAGGTTATCCACTTCAGCCTCTCTCCAGTCTCAGCTTCCCTGGGCTGGAGGGTTTCAGTGATGACTCAGGACCCTTGGCTCTATTAACTCCTGGGATCCAGGCTGCTTTATAAAATGCGTGGGCCTTAGCTCCTGTTTTCAAAATCTTCCCTGTCCAGCAATCAGGAGCTTCTGGTCCCTTTCAGGCAGGCGCACCATAGCTAACTAAACATACTACCTTAGGTCTAGGTGCTTGCTTGGGAGAATGGCTCTGGGGTGTTCTTGATTTGAGGATGCGGCCCTCATATTTTTCCACGGAAAAACTGAGGGTTTTAGGGCACCATGTCAGCTGTCTGTTGGGACAAGGCTTAACAATGACAGGGATGCTTAGAATGTGACAAATTGGTGATTTAAATGTTCTATGTCCATGCCATATTTCACTTTTTCTTCACTTCACTTTTTCTTCCCCAAACAGCAGGCATTCTCAAAGTGTGGTCTAGGGACTCCTGGGGGTCCTGTGATCCTTTTAAGGGGGCTCAAGAGGTCAAAACTATTTCATAAATACTAAGATGATATCTGCCTTTATCACTTTCATTTTCTCACAAGTATAGAGTGGACTCTGGGGGCCTGACAGTTTCACAGTATTTGGACTTTCCTGATGAGCTGGTAGTGATAATAATGTATGTGATTTTTTAATACTGTGTGTCAGTACTTGGAAGATCTGTGTAACTCAGTGAATCAGTATTTCCCAAATGATCAATGCATGATACTAAAAATCATTCATGAGTTATAGAGCTATGATGCTAATACAGCGAAGGATTCCTATTTATTTATTTATTTATCTTAAAAAGATTTGTTAATTACATTTTTTTTTTTTGAGCGAGCAAGACAGCATGAGGGGGAGGGGGAGAGGGAGAGGGAGAGAGAGAAAGTCTTAAGTAGACTCCATGATGAACCAGACATGGGGCTTGATCCCATGACCCTGAGATCAAAACCTGAGCTGAAACCAAGATTCGGATGCTCCATCGACTGCGCCACCCAGGTGCCCCAAGGTCCTCAATTTTTAAGGATATCAAGGGGTCCTAAGACCAAAAAGCTTGAGAAATGCTGCAAAGGAAAAATTAAAATACTATGAAAAACTGTTAATACTTACTATTCATGAACTGTCCTAAGCCCTAAAAAACAGCAGTAATTTTATAGAGAAATGAGTAGGAGATGGGGTGGGCAGATGTCTCAAGGGGCTCTCTGAAGATCTGGCAATAAAGGAAACGGATACACACCTGAACTGGCCATGGGAAACGGAAGCTACATTCACTGGTGAGCCAATAAGAGAGGACCATGTATGTGTGGAGGTGAGTGGGGAGGGGTGGCTATGTACCGTAGTGTTCAGGAGTACAAGATTTGTGGTCTGAAGGACCTTGTTCCAATCCCGATTCTAACACCTATTAGCCATATGACCTTAGGTGAGTTAGTTAGTCTCTCTCGGCCTCAGTTTCCTCAGTCATTCTTCCAGAGAAAACCAGAGAAACTGCAGAATAATCCTGGGACAAAGAATATGACTTCCATGTGGGGTTTCTCAGCAAGTCTTGGCAGACAGCCATGGCCTCTAGGAATCTACAATTTTTTTCAGATGGAGAAAGGAGAGGAAGTGAACATTTTCATGCAAAGCAGGACATTTCAGAAGCCCAGTTTTATTTTTTGAGCTAGGGAGCAATCAGTGCGACTCTGTGCTAAAGCCCATAGATTAATCAGAGACCATTCAATAACAGCACTAAGGTATTCATTAACTAGCTCAGTGACGGCTCTCAAGACAAGGGTTGGATGACAACAAAGCTGAATCACACTTTTCCCCCAAAAAAGCTGAACTAGGAGAAAGGTGAGGTGAAGGTGAGACAGAGAGATGGTTCCAGGCCACAAAGAAGTCCCAGAAGGGGGTGAAATCAGATTTATAAAAGTCCCCCATTCAATTGTCCAACAAATATCTGAACGCTAGCCATATGCAGGCCCTGCTTTTAGCACTTCGTCTAAGAGAAGAAAGAATATGAGTCCATGCAGAGTAAAACGCAACACATAAAGAGGTATGTATAAAACATAGTGGGAAGATGAAATGGTAATGTCCAATGAAGTGTGGAATGGGGGAGCTCAGGGAAGGTTTTCTGAGAGAAGCATGTGAAGAGTAAGTATGGTGTGGACACTGAGAGAAAAATAGGGCATCTTAGAGAGGGGGTTTCTGGAGCAAAACTGAGGGTAGGAAACAAACATATGAGAAGCATCTAGCAGTTCCTTTTGGAGTCAGCGCAGGGTGCCTGACAGGGCGCAGTGACTGGGCACTGAGAAGGCCAGGAGAGGGGGGTGCTGGGGCTGCCAGCTACAGGGCTGGCACTTTGTTAGTAAACAGAGGGAATCTGATTAGGGTAATTCCCTCTCCCGTTCTTCATGATAACTATTCTACACTGTCAATATTTTCTTTAAACCCCCTACTCAATCTCTCATTCCCTTCAACAGGACTTTGAATTTCCTGTCTTACTGCACACTAGACACTGTCTGGTGTCATCTTAGTCAACTTCCCACTTCCTACCTACAAACTTATCCACACTCATCCTCCCCTATTATCCTGACATCTGGGGACAAGGTGTCCCTTTCCTATTAAAGACTACATCTATTTTCATATCTCCCAAGTCTATGTTCCATTTTCTTTTCTGTTCTACTCCATTTTCTACCTCCATTTCCCCTTCTTTTGGGCTCCCTGCCCCAGATTATAAAAATAATTTCACCCATATTCTTTAAAGAAGTCTGTATGAGAAGTCTACACTCACTGTCTCCACTTCCCATTCCACTTCCATATGATATTCATCCTTATGCTGGACTGAAATGTGTCTTTAAAGTTCTCAATGACTTATATTGCCAAATCCAGTACATATTTCCAATTCTGAGCACATGAAGCATTTCCGTTAAATTTCAATCCACTGATCACTCTCCTGCTTTCTCCAACCTTTGTGCTCTCAGGGCTTCACTGAACTGGTTCTCTAGGCACCTCTGACGACCACTCATTTGTTTTCCTTCATGAGCTCCATCTCCAATGCCCACGGACATCAGTGGTCATGTCCCTAGCCCACCATTCCTTTCTTTACCTGACACAACCTCTTTGAGTATCTCAAGTCTCACAGTTCCAGTCACCGTCTCTCACCTCAGAACCTCTTCCCAAAGCCATCACTTGCCTGTCTGTGTGTCTAAAAGACCTCTCTACTTGGTTATCCAACAAGTAATTCAAGCTTGGGCTGTCCGTACTGGCAGTTACTTTTCTTCCAAATCTGGCCTGTCCTTTCTTCTCTCCTGCTGCTCCCTCACCAACACACACATACACTACCTAATTCCCATTTGTCCTTTATTTACCTTCCCAAGAAAGCTGTTGCCGCGCCTCCAGGCTGCGGGAGATCTGTGCCCTCTAAAACACTCCAGCCTAGTGCAATTATGGGACAATACGGAACCATCGATGCTATTACAGAAATGAGTGTTAGAGGCCGCCCCACGACAGGGACGGTGTTCGAACCCCCATGAATCTCTAGGACCTGTCGTAATCCCCGACGCATGGCAGGCACTCCGTGACTGCTTGGGGGTGAATAATGACAGCTCTGTTTTACTAAGAAGCGCTCTGTCAATGGTATAGAAAACATGCAGGAGAGGGAGAAAGAGCAGAGGAGACTAACCTGCAGTGGCTAACTGTAGTAGAATGAAACAAAACAAAGGTCTCAACTAAGGATTAACAGGATAGAAAGAAGGGGATGACACGAGAG